CAAAAATTCAAATAACACAAAAAAGTAACTACATAAATTTAACTGAACAAAATTTCTGGTAAACAAAAATGGTTAAGAAATCGAAGCAAAATTGATATACATAAACTTATGTAGTTGTTGGTCTAAGAATGAATCGAAAGGAAAGCGGAGAAATAAGTGCATATAAATGAACTACTGTAATTACTGGGGAGGGAAACGTGCGTGGTGATGATGGATATTTAAAAAATGCAACTGCAAAAGAAAACAACAACAAACACAAATTAACAATTAAGTTGTAACAAATTGAAAGTTAAGTGAAATAAGTATGAAAAACGAAATAAACAATGAATTTTAAAACACAAATAAAATGCTGTAGTTTGCGTTTATTTACTTTGGAAATTGATGATTTGGTGAGTATAAAAATACGAGAAAAAAATTTTATTATTTAAATGAAGTTATATTAATTAATTCGTCATGGCCTGCATTGCATTTGAATGCTCCATTCATTGAAATCGGGTAAGATTGCAAGAAAAAAAATAGGTCGACCAACCTAGTGAGAAGCCGCGTTGTGCGATTTTGTCAGGTTCACGATTTCCACCAGGCCCGCAGAAGTACCTAGTACGCAGCTGCTGCGATGAAAAATCTGTCAAGTGTTGCATACCTCACAGGCGTAAAATGCAAATTTTACGTCCCTGCAACTCCGGTGGCACCCCGTAGTTTCCCGTCTGCGACTCCCGAGGCACCCTGTATCTGACGCCTGTGGGATATGCAACGAAAACTTTTTTTGCTTCCGGCAGCTTGCTACTGGACACTTCTGCGCACCTGGTGGAAATCGAGAATTTTACCAAAATTTTAAATCACTTGCGTGCTAGGGTGATCGAGCCATTTTTTTTTACCGCAAATTATGTAAAACTTAATCGATTTTAATAAATGTGGTATCAAATGAAAGGGCTCAAATACAGCGGTTATTTTTGCTGATGTTTAAAATGATTTTGAGCGTAAATCATCTTAGAACTAATGAAAGAAATAATATTTTATATGCAACAGCCAAACATTTTTTTTTTACTTTTATTGTTATAATAAATATATGTATGTAACGTGTTTGTATGTTTTTATTACAATTCCAACATTATTATTTTTGTTAACCACAATAGTTGTAAAATATAAGTAAATATAAAGAGCGGTAAAACTAACAAAGTGCGATGACTTACTTAATTAAATACGCATCGCAAAAAAATGTCTTTTCAAGGATTATTTTAAAGATCAAACAAATTGCTTACATGGATTGAAAATACAAAAATACATATCTAATATAAAATAATGGACTAGTGTGAAGTTAAGTGGAAGATAGAGAGCTGAGAGTGTTGACAGTTTAAAAAGTAAAATATTGGAGTTTGATTTGTATAATAATCATAAATCGGTGGCTGAGTGAAAGATCGCCCTATCTCGGCTTCCGGTTCAAAAACGCCCCATCTCAGTTGGCGGTGTGTTCAACTTATATTGAGAGAGAGCGTTTTCGAAGCTGCCGCTGAAATAGGGTGTCTTTCAACCAAATTTTGAAATAAAGGCCTTTTCTAACCGACAGCCGAGATAGTGCGATCTTCGACTCAGCCGACGAAATAAAGTCTTCTTGGGTTAGGCGTCAACGACATTCAAGGCCAAAAATCGCAAAGAGATTGCACAGTTTTGTAAATTACGCGACAAGAAGCACACGTTAGTTCAATAGATAGTTTTCACATCTATTCATTAGCCATGTCTTCGGTGTCATTCTCCATTTCCATTTCCGAACCACGACCTTCGCGTATACGTTTCAATTTTCGCTTTAAAGTCATTATGCCTGCAATGTTAGAAAAATCAATCTTTTTTTAAATTTTTAACTCAATACTTCACTTACATTTAATTGCTTGGAAGGCTTTGGCCGATGTACAGGAACTCTCCGAAGCAGACGAATTGGCTAACGTGCTAATTTTTAGTTTTTCTTGTGCTAGTTTTACTTCCATATAAGCCTTTTTGAGTGTTTTAAAGTGGCGATGCTCGCTCGAATCCTTCAGCAAGATGCATCTGCAAAAGTGTTAAATAACATAAATATTTTGTTGTAATTTTCTCTTTTGTGTTAGATTTAAAACTTACTTTGCAGCTGACCCTTCTCCTGAACAATCCACGGGCGATGAGTGGTATATTTGATGATAAAAATACTGCAACACTGGTGAATTCCATATTGATAGCCCATACCATAACCAAATTGCAACATTTAACATAATTTTAAAATTTTTGGCAAATAACGTAGGAACTAAATATTTGAATGGTAGCAAGCTGATGAATACGTGTGACCTATAAATAAGAGCAGAATTATTTATTATTAAAATAAGTGTTTACAATCTATAAAGTATTGATAGCAGTTACTTTCTATATCTACATATGGAGGGCTTGTATTCAGCAATTTTTATAGAGAAAAAACTTCTTTCTGATAATTCAGAAGGATTTTCGGTGACTGTAAACTCTCATATTATTTCTCACTTAAAATCCAACAGTGCATTTTAATAAGAAGCGATTCATAAGACAAAATTAATGTTATCAAAGACAGTTGAGTCTAAGATGGATTTAATATCAGAAATCCATTTTCCAATTATGTGTTTTAAAAACCAAGACTCTTCATTTAAAACTACACTGGCAAGTAATTTAATGTGAGGGGAGTGGAATTGGTTCTGTTCTTTTAACGACCATGAAGACGTTTTATAATATTGTTCAAGAAGGCGAAAAATTATTTTATACTTACCAAGAGGCTATGCGTAGACCCAAAAAGACTTGGAACAACAACCGGCTACCATTCGAATTGATTAAAGCTAATAAAAAGAGAGTCTCTGTAAGTATATTATAGACGCCTAAGCTGAGATTCAGGCCGACAAAATAGTTTTCATATCTGAAAGAAAGCGAAAATCATTAATTATGAAATTACAAAATAAAGTGGACAGATCAGTGCAAAATGGTCGATCGAAATATTTGGAATTTTTGAACAGCAATATCGATTCTTTACTAATAGCTGATCATATTCAGTTTGCACTTCCCTTCTGCGTGCTCTAAGAACACACTTACTTGTATACATCAATGGCCACCAGTGCAAGTAAGTAGAGCGTCCTTGAGCAAGCCTCTAGATAATCGGATTCCTTAAAATCCAATATGGCATTATGTAAATAAAATGTTATTATAAATAGCGAATAGAATTGAAATTTTTCACATTGTTGCGATTTGTAGAAAATCATATTCTCCGAGGAATAAAACAAAGAATAACGTCCTTGATTTTTAGACAGCTGTGGCAACAACATCAATTCATTGTAGAAATAAAGGAAAAGTGTACAAGCGGCATAGAAAGAAATATTCCAAACGGAGCGAGCAAATTGTTTGCGTTTGTAAAACTTTATATTGGACGTTTTTAAGAAAACCTGGAAAGAAAAAATGTGCTATAAATATTTGGAAGTTTGTACAATATCAATAAAAAAAGTGGCAAAAGTGTTTCACTATAATTAATTCAGTTGCTTGTAAACCTATTTTAATAGATTTTTTAAAGGTTTGCGTTTCGTTTTTTTTTTTTGTTAATAAAACACATTCATCACAATCTGGCAGCCTTGTATAAAATGTAAACATCAGCTGACTTTGCCGACTGCGCTCACCTCAATTGTCAAAACAATAGAGCCAACAGCTGAGACGCCTGCAGTCCTGCAAACAAAAAAAACTCGCATGCTATTTTTAGTAGCGCTAGCTAAAATAACAGCGAATGCACCGAGCCACACTTGCATGCATTTGTATGTTTGGACGTGTGCACACATGCACATTTTCCCGTTGAATTTTTCAGCTTACCTCAAATATTTTATAGAATCCAATAAAACCTCCGGCAAAAAAGAGAAATATCCAGAACAATGCATTGAGCAAATAGTTCAAATCCACATGCTGCATCAGCGCATCGAAGCGTTCATTTATAATGAAGTACTTCAGCGGCAAAAAGAAGTTATAAACGTCCGCCCAGTAATCGGGCGGACCTGGCTTCATATCCAGTATGGACGTCATGGTCGTTGCTGGTTTTTTTTTTTCAAATATCAGCAAATTACTTTGTGTTACTTACTGGTTTTATAATTTTTCTCGTTTTACATTTTTTTGGATTGGTTTTTTGTGCTAATTAATTTATCGAGTCTTAAAAAATTACTACAAGTCCCGTTTTTTCTATTTTTGACAATTGCTTCTGTACTCGTTACCTAGCACTGACATTTATACAACGAGTAAATATTAGTTGTGCTGCCATATGAAAGTTATCTTATTAAAAATACAAAATCTTAAGCTGAAATTAGTCAAGAACGCAGAACGTATACTTAACGCAGTCAGTATACGCAGAATTTTGTCGATTACCGGAGCTCTCGGTGTTGCTTACTACAGTGTGGCCACTCATCAATGCCTTTTCATAAGCCTACCTTTTCAACTATAATTTTTCGTGCTATAATAGATTGTAGGTAAATAAACACTTTTTAGTTTTCAACAAAAAACCTTATTCAATAGTAAATATCAAATATTTTAAACATATTTTGAATAGGAACTTATAACTTTTTTACCATCTGCAAAACTGACGAAGTGGCAAGTGGCAGATTTCTGCGCTACGGGCTACAACTACAGGAAAATTCTGCGGTGTTGAGTTTTGATTTACATGGCGCTTTGGTAAAACAGATCGTGTCAGCTTACTCGTGTGTACGTCCCGGTAGGTTTGCGTTCTTGACTAATTTCAGCTGTAAGGGAAACTTTATTGAACGTAGCCTACTTTTAGGTAGCAATTTTAATGACACGTTGTTGTTGTTAAAGGATCGCGGGATCCCGTGATTTAGATATTCTTTACTTTCACAACGTAAATCGAAAGATTCCGTCTTTATTGTTTGAGAAACTCTGCGACCATAAAATAAAGAAATGGGTTTGAAACCTACTTTTTTATTTAAAGTGGCGTGTTTATTTTTTCTCTCTGACGTCAGGATTTATTTTAAAGAGCTCTGTAGAGCTCAAACATATGGTTAATTCCAAAAACTATTTAAAAAATTCAATGCGATGTGAAATAAAAATATGGGTACCAAATGCAAGAGGAAATTTCTTTGGACTTAAAATTTTTTGGATTACGAAAAGGTACTTTTTTAATCTGGTAAAGTTAGAAGGACGAAATTCGAGAATGTTATCGAGTTCATATAAGTCCTTAACATATAATTTTTTCAAAAACAAATATTTTTTTCTGCGACAAAAACTTCAACCTGTTTAAATTCTACGGGATTTCCTCTTTAATTTTATACCCATACTTTTTCTCTAAGCATTTTATAAATTTTTTAAATCATTTTTGAATTACTGACGCCAGAGTGAAAAACTAAAAACGCAATTTTACTATATTTGGCCCATGGTTTCTCGAATATATTGATATTTGTGTTTAAAATGTACTATCGCGCGGTGTTATATTTATAATGAGCTATACGTTTATACAAAAACATTAATTATTAAATAAAAAAAGAAATATAGCCAATACTGGTCAGAAGAAAGAGTTTCTATTATTGCCATCCGTGCAAATTACAAATCCCGAAGATCCCGGGATTATTTGCCAAGAATCCCGAGATTTTTTTTTCGGACCTTAAAAAGGCCGGAATCCCGGGATTAACAAAAAAACGCGTTAAACCTAGAATCTTCAAGTCAAAGCAATATACAATTATTGTTAATTAATTTTTATTGTTAAAAGTACTCGATATAACAATTTAACTTTTTACAAAAACTATAATGATATACTAAATATTTTACATATATTAATACACGTATGTAAATATGTATGTATGTATGTACCCAGTGGGAAAAATGTAATCATGTCTATTACGGTATCCGACGGATGCCATTCCCACGGATCTAATAGAACTCGCACTGTCATAACAAGCGAGTGAGAAGGATTAGATTCAAGAGAATGGGGTCCCTCGGAAACAGACCTATTCCTGTCCGATAGATACCATTCGCACGAATCTAATCCTTCGCTCTCGCTTATTCCGACAGTGTGAATCTGATTAGATCCCTTCGGATGGCATTCGTCGGATACCGTAATAGGCATAAATGTATGGTAAACAAAAAATAATAATCTGTAAAACAGCCGTTTTCACATTCGAAAATTCCTTTCTTTCCCACGGCATTATCCTAAGAAAAGTGGAACGTTGCATTTGCATTACCTAGTAATCGAAGAATGTATACGATTTAATATGAATTTTTTGGGGCTTTTTGTAAACATTAAAATGCTGATTACAAATTAATCAGTAATAGAATGCATTACTTCCCACTGGGTATGCATTTACATACATATGCATGCTTGCTTCTGCATTGCATACATATGTATTATATACAGACTTGCTATCGATATGATAAATTTACAAAAGTGGAAAATGACCATGCAAATAAGTATGTAAATACAAAATCGTTATCACTTAATAGACACATAAATAAAATAATTTTTTATAAATTAAAATATTATTATGCACTACATACATGTATGTATACATATGTATATACGTACATATATAACCTAAAATAAAAAAGCAGGAATACACCATTTTTATATATGTATGTACCTATGAACATACATACATATATTGATTTAAATGCATTGCATTGCATCTTTCAATACATATGTAATTGTACAAAAAACATTTACAACATTTCACATACACATGCATACTACAACAAAAAATATTGCAAAGAAAATTAATTTAATTATTTATAATCGTTAGAAAAAAAATCAATTTACTGAATATTAATGAAAAATTTTCACTACATAAACATACGTACATACATGCATACAACTACATAATTAATTTTACCTCTACAACTTATTATTTAAGTGAACATTCTATAAAATATATATAAAATTATTAACAGTTAAGTAACAACTTTTGTGAATATAAACTGTTTCTCAAGACATTTAGCTTCATTTTACCTTAAACTACACATAGTATGTATTCGCATTTATGCTTTTTTTTCTTGTGCGTATTAATTTAAAGTGCACTGCTGGAACAGGTACCGCCGTTATTGTGCATCTTTACGCGGCAATTAAAATTTCCCGTATCCACGCCGCATTCGAAGTGATTTTATCATACATTCTTGGTCGTTCAACACCACTTGGTCCACAGGCAATACGCCACGATGAGACACCTAGTAGTGCCCATTGATTTGTGCCCGGAATGAGACATTGAACTGGCGCGCCAGAGTACTCCTCTTGCTGTGGGCGAGATGGAAGAAAAATTTATTTTATATTACATACATCAAAATTAGGTTTGCTTAAGCAAAAATTGTTTAAAAATTTATTAATATTTTCTTGCTATAAAAATAATAAAATACTCGATTACCAGGCAAAAAAAAAATATTAACAAAAATATTAGCAAAGGAGCAAGGAGCAAAGGATTTTAGCTGGAGCGGAGCTGGAGCAAAGAGCTTAAAAAATTAATTTGCTCCTTAGCTCCTTAAAGAAACATTTTCAAGATTTTGTTTTTGTTATTTTCTGGCCTAGTAACCATTAGAGGTGTTAAATAATGCAGTCATTTTTAACTAAATTATTCACTTGATTGAAGTCCCAAGTGACTGCAATAATTTTTTTGTTAGTCCTGACTAAGAGCCATTGGAGTGCATTCTTTTGGCGTACTTGGATTTTTTTTCAGGAACCGAGAACGCGTTCTGGTGTTGCTTTAGTTCTGCATGAGCACAAAAGGTAACGTCAAACAATGCCAATAAAACTCTCGGGAACGTTCTCAAGAAGAACAGAATAAGAACGAAAGTTTCGGCAACGTTTTCAATGAGAATGAAAGTAGGAGGATCAAATAAGAACAAAAGTCTGGGAAACGTTCTGCTAGAGAAAAAAAAACTAGAACAAAAGTTTTGAAAACTTAACGCTAAGAATGAGAGGGACGGTTGCGTGTTGAGATGAGAAATCGTTTCAGTGAAAACCATAACTGTTAATTCTTAGTTCCAGATCGTTCATTATTTGGGTGATCTGCCCATTTCTGGAAATTTGTTTCACTTTCTGTGCAATAAAAGTTCGTGTCGTAAGTCTTTCGTTGAATTAATTTGCATAATTATCTTTCAGTTCTATTTTGATTAATTTTAATATTCAAACATTTCAAACTAATGAAACGCTATGAAAAAACAACTTTGTTCTCGCTTCCATTCTTCGCAGAGTGCTTAAAGAAGATCTGTTCCGGATTTGTTCTCTGTCAGAAAGTTCGTGAGACTTCAGCTTCTAAAACGTTCTTCAGGAGACTTTTAGACTTTTGTTCCCTTAGAAAGTTCGCTGTGGGGACTTCCATATGGTTTTGTTCATATATAATTCCCGTGAGAAACTTGTTTTTTAGTTTTTGTCGTATATGGCACACAAATCTACAGAAATTGCTAGCCTTAACCGGTAGCCGATTATTTAAAAAGCGTGCCTTAAATACAACACACCCTTAGAACGGTTTTCTAAAGTTTTTTTTTTTTTTGAAAAAAGAACACAAGGCAATCCATGCTTGCAACAGAAATATATGCCCGTTTCATTATTTCTGGAGCAAAGAGCGAGGCAACAGGCTGGTGAAGTATCAATTGTAAAAATTCCTTGGACACACACACGAAATAATGGCAATTTTTTTCTTGACCGTTTTCTTAAGAGCTGCATACCAGCCTTAAGCCTGGTCGATATGCATACTTCTTCTTGTTCTTATTTCACAATACACCGTTTTTCGTTTTGGGCCGAGAACAGAAATCTTCGCAAGCAGATTTTCTCCTTTGTGAAGTCCCACCAATTTCGCATACCATGTTCAGAGAGATCCTTCTGTACATGCCCTTTGCACTCTTTTCTTAGAGGCCACTGCTGTCGTTTTGTAATCGCGACGAGGGATATTCTCACCGGAGAATCATCCTTAGCTAAATCGACAGTTTTTTCATTACTACAAATAGGTCTTATTGTGCTCTGGAACCCTGAGATTAACCACTTTATTCTAGGAAAAACGGTTTGCCACTCTTTTGCAGCCTGTCAAAATAAATCGAATAATAGAGATTTTCAAAAATACTTCTGGGATGTGTCTCTATAGGATCACTCTTAAGCATTTCCTTCCCCCGCTATTATTATTCATCAAAGGTGATTGTCTTAATATGAAAAGGTAAGAAACAGGATAAATATTTTGCTTAATTTGTGACTTTTGCAACATGGCTAACAAAGAACTTGAACG